CCCTTGAAACAGCAGATGTTATGGCCTGAATTAAGTTTAATTCGGGCCGTACCTCAAAATAACGCCCTTTCAAAATTTCATGGTAATAAATGAACATTACCAAATGGAGTATGAAATTTTTTCGGACAAGATTCACTATTAAAGTTAAACACCATTGAGAAATGTACAATTTTGAAATCAAATACAATTAAAATTTTGGTTGGAACCAAAGCAAAAAGTTTTTCGGCAGATTAATTATGCTAAAAGTACAACTACATTACATACATATTTTTAAAGCTTACAAAAATACAAGAACTTTAAATAAATTAAAATGTCTAATGATTATATAATAAATACTATTGATCTACTTTGTATAAGTCTATATAAATGCAAATTATGATTTATAAATGAGAAAATTTATGCCAAAGATTGTGAGAGAAAAACAAATGATTCATATAGACTATTTTGTTAAAGACTTCTTCTCCTAGCTATCATTATGGATCCAGTCGCTATTAACATAATTCCACCAATTACACCAGCCGTTATACCAATAAACCCCAAAATATTCACAGATTTATTTGAATTACTTGTGCCAGTATGAACAGGATTAATTCCCGGATCGACTGAATCAGTTTTAAAAGGAGGTGTGGTGGGCAGAGAACGAGTTTGAACTGTAGTTATAGTAGAGGAATAACTTGTAGTTATTGTTTGTGATATTTGAGAGACCTGAGATATTTGAGAAATTTGAGAGATCTGAGGTGTTTGAGAAATTTGAGAGATCTGAGGTATTTGAGATATTTGAGGTGGAGAAGTTGGCGAATCTAAGGAAGGTGGATATGTTGAAGACACTAATGTTGAGAAAAAAAAAATAATGATTATGAAAGGGTTATATTTATTTCATAATGACAAGCAAGACGAGCAAATAATGAATGGTAATAGTACCGAATTTAACAGTGAATGTACCAGACGAACAGAAAACATCATTCTCGATGTCATGAATGACAAATTTATACGTTCCTGGATCAACGTTAATTACCCACTGTGCAAAATTGACTTCAACGTCCAATGCATTATTTATTGACTTGCTTATTTTTGTGTCTATATTGCTAATTTCCAAGACATAGGGTTTTGCTGCGATGGTACCGGGTTTGGTACTAAGTAAATCTGTTTTAACGCTCTAACAAAAGTTGTTCTCCATATTGAGACGATTCTAACGAT